CTCGGGGACCTGGGCGGGTTCAAGCGGGAGGTGCACGTCTCGCGGGTGGAGGCCGTTCTCGTCGGCAGGGTGCGTCGCCTGACTCGTCCACCTGGTGGCGATAACGGGGAAATGGTGCTACTTCTGACTAACAAACCCCACCTGGAACCGCCTGCAGCTTCGGCTTTAATGATAACCCTGAAGTGATACTGTACTGTGGCGGCATTGAAGTCCGCGGTGTAACCACCGAAGACAAAGCGTGAAAGTAGCAGTATTCCACGCGTGGTTCCGCGCATGCGCTGAAACGTGCATGCGTTGATGCATGTTTGCGTTGAAGAACTGTTTGTTTGAATTATGATACTTGGCATGTTCTACGCAACACATTATTTGAAACTGTTTGGTGGAAGAGTTGCCTTCGAAGACACTTGTATTTACGTCGAGCTCCGTGAAACAGATCCAATATAGTGCATGCGTTTGCCCCCACTTCCCGTTCGTTGTCGGGCTCGCACGCCTACTGGTAGCTGTCCTGTTCATCCTGCTCGAACTTCTCAGTGAGCATCATCATCGGAGAGCAATAGCAGCTTAACTGGAGCAGGTTCCCGAAACGGTACCACCACCAGTTCACTCTTCTCCCACTAGCACCACCAAATTATCACTCTTCAGCCACAACTGTGAGCGTTCTTGCGGGCACCACTCACCGTTCTTGTGATCGCAGCGAAACCGCAGGCGTCTGACTTGCGTTGGGGGTCCCCAGATCCCCAGACATCCGCATACCGGGCACGGCGCCGGCCTTCATCTCCCCGGCCGTTTCCAGCGGTAATGCACCAGACGGCGTACTGATATGCATATTTTGCTGCGAGATATGCTCTCCCAGCGGTAAGGACACAATCTTACACAATCTAGCTTGCGACAGCGGTGTCCGATGCGGCTGCCGTGTCCTGCTCGCGATACCCTTCACCAGTCGTCTGCCGCCGGCGACGGTGAGCTGTCCCGCCGTCCCTGCCGCCGCCGGCGGGTGGGAGCGCTGAGGTGGGGCGCGATCGAGCGCACCCCTCCCGCTGCTGGACGCCGCCGCGGCCGTCTCTCCCCAGCCGCCTTTTCCCCACGATGACGCTAATATGACGTCATGGATGCCTAGGTGGCTTTGAAGTAGTCTTGCACGACGAAGTTTAGACATCTGCGTGGGCGTGTAGCTCAGAAAATACACAGGTTTAGGCCTTGAGAAGGGTAGGGCTGTGAACTGCAGGGTGTG